AGTGACGTACAAAGAGAAGGGTGCTCAGCCAGTGCCTTGCACCTCCCGACCGAGAGCATCATTGCAGGAGCCCATCCCACGCCTCCCCAGGCCGTTTGGTGCGGCGTGCCCCAGCCAGCAGCGAGGTTCCCTGGGACCCTTCTCCCATCGGACTCCTGCGGACATGGGGAGAAGCTGCAGTTCTTGAGGAGTTAATGGGTGGCCTTGCATCTCGGATCCAGGATGGGGAATCAGTCCCTTCATGCGTGGACTTCTTCAGCTGTTTTTTCTGGCACCAGGCATTTCATCATGAGTCAGCCGCACTCGTAATGAAAGCAGACAGGTAATTTAATCATGGAAAGTTCCTACAAAGAGATTCAGTGTCTTCTAATGGGAGCCTGCTGGGAGGAACTGGAAGGGAATCCAGATGTATCTTAGCTCTGGCATAGGCTGGGCGAAATACCTAGCAGAAACCTTGGTACAGTAGGTATGTTGGAGCTTCACGTCGTATTAGATCCTTGAACGGCTCATACCCTTATCGCCACAGGTGCTACACTCCAGACACAATACGGTGCTGCGCTAATCTTTGAAGATAATGCAGAGCTTATGCCTGCGGTCCGTGTTGTGGGGGTATCAGACACACAAATCTGCGCAGTGCCTGTGGAGGGCTGCGGTTCCCGGAACGGAGCAGCGCTCTGCCTTGTCGTGCGGGGTGTTCTGCCGGCCCTGGAAGGGCAGATTACGTCGTTAGGCACGTTTCAAGCCATGTTTGTAAACATCCATCAGGAGCGACTGAGGAAAGCGCCGTATCTGGCCCAGACGACTTCTCTGATTCCCGTCGAAGGGTGCGAGCCTGCGCTCTGTCCTGCTGGTCTCTGCTGCAGCTCAGGTGGCTGAACACGTTGCTGGTGCTGGGCACCTCTGGCTTCCATTGCGCCGCTGTGCTTCTCTCCGTACCCGCCTGCTGCCTGTTCCGCTCCACTCCCACCCATTCCCTCTGTGTCTTGCTCCTAAACCCTGCCCCAGCATCGCGTTGTGAGAGAAGAAAACCTGGCAGAGTTAGGGGGAGGTGAAGGAACACGACCACCGGCAACCCAGCCCCGTCCCGCTCCTCCCCTCTCCTGCATCGCCGCGCCTGGAGCTTGGGCTCGGGGAGGAACCCAGACGTGCAGGGTCGGTACCACGCCGCTGTCCTAGTGATGGGTCAGCAGGTGCTTGGCACTGGAGGGGCACCCAGAAGTCAGGCAGAAGAATTATTTCTCTTTCCAAACATCAGCACGAAGCTTCCTGCTGTGGAGATGATCCCTTTCTTCTTCCGCATTCACAGGAATCATCATTCTTCTCCTCTGACATCATCATTTGTTGTCATGGAAACCAGGCCCTCGGGAAGAGATGCAGTGGAGCATCCTGGTGTGGGAGGGTGCATCTCGGGCGCTGTGGCCTGGGCACAGGGCTGTGGGGTGCCCGGCTGGGTACCGCTCACACCGCAGCGTGCACTGGGGTCGGCTCTCCTCGTGTCCTGTTCTCCTGAGTACCCTGGGGCCATCTCACCTTGACAGGCTCGGTGAGGGACCCCGGGCTAATCGTCCTGCCCGTGGGGGAGGCAAGGGGGTGCCAGCAGCACCCTGCACCCTGCGCAGGGCTCCGGTTGTGTCCCGGGACACCCGTGCCAGACACAGCTCCGAGCACTCGTCCAGGCTGGAGGAGCCATCGCGCACGTGGTGCTGTCTCCAGCCCAGAGCCACAATTCCCAGTTGGAATTGGCCTGCGCAAGGCTTGTCCAGTGGTATCTCTCTTTATTAGCCCTGTCTGACCTCATTACTAGAAAGAAGCTCAATTTAACGAGCTGCCGGTGCCCCCAGGGAACTCTGAAAAACAGTTGTTTTTCACCAAGGCTGCTGATCCTTCATGTCCGGCGTTTCCATTCCCGTTTGGCCATTAATCAGGTGTTTGCATGGGAGCGGCTCCGTGCCCCTGACAGCACAATGTCCCTGCTGTTGATTCCTCAGGTGGCTTGGCAGCCTTGTCCTGGTGCCGGAGATGGCCGTCATAGAGTGCCAGGCGGTGGCTCTGGAGGCAGCGCGGGCTGCTCGGGTTTGCAACACCCAGCAAGGCACTGGTCTCATACTGGTCTCAACCTGCCTCTAGATCTCTGCATTTCATGAGGGCAACCAAGTATCCTAACATGCACAGGTGTCACTAAAGCAGGATTTGACCTTCTGGATTCTCCTTTCTGAAAGTTCAGGGCTTTGGATCAAGGCTTGGGCTGCCTCCATAATCCTGCCAGAGGCTCCCTGCGCCTGGCTACGGGTGTTGAACCGGGCCGCTCGCACCTGGTGTTCCTTTATATCACCGAAAACTCAGAAGGTAGGGAGAAAAGAGAGAAATGCAGAAAATACACGTGTCTCTGTACCCAACCTGTCTTTACATGGCAGGAGGCGTCAGGGCTCTTCCCCAGAAGAGGCTTTATCTGGAGACGGCGCAGGGCTGCGTCTCTCCTCTGCGAGTGTGGAGATACCCTCGTGGTTCCAGCTGGGGTGGCACATTTCTCAGATAAATCTTAAGATGCTTAACAACCTGCTCTCCTACCTCCTGGCGACATGAACCACAAAAAATAGACGTCCTTCGTCTGCTGCTCCGTCCTGCCTCTTCTGAAGGCTTAGGCTTGTCCAAAGCCGGTTCTTCGTGCCTCTTCCTCCGCACCGCAGCCAGGCAGGGAGTAATCGAGCAGCAAAGCGGGATGCGGCAAGACAGCTCGGCGTGAGGCTGTGGCAGATGGCATCTCTGTGAGAAGAGGTTTTTCCAGGGACGGGCAGCCCCCCGTGCGTCCCTCTCCTGGCAGGGCAGCGGGGACATGTCACACAACGCCCCGTGCTCCGGGGCCCC